TTTCTAGCATTTTCCAAATTATATCTTTAGGTAAATAGGCAATCAAATGGAACCGTGATGTTATGCACCATCATAAATTACACTTTATGTCTGGTGAGAAAAACATTCACATTGAGTACATAATTTCTAGAGATAACACTAAAGAACTGGTACCTGATTTACGAAAACAGTGGAAAGAATAGTTAAGGCTCTAAAAGAATTCATGCTTAAGCAATACGCCAGAATTCTTTCCTTGCACTCAAACTACTTGTAAACTATTGTAATTTAGGTAAGATGAAGAAACATGGTGTATATCTGAAGTAATGATTTAAATACTTTTATCAAACCAGCAGTCAGATCTGTGGTAACATCATCATCCCATTTCACTCAGACTGAAAACCACACCAGTTTCTTAAACAAATGAAGTATTGAGCCTGGTAAGGAACATTCCAAATTCTAGATCTAGTCTAAAAACATTGAGATTTTACCTCAGGAAAAATTAACTGTACTGAGTTTCCACTCTACAGAATCATTTGAGTTCACAAAGAATTCAGACATTGTTTCCAGAAAATTCCCTAATGTTTTAAAACTCAGCATTGAAGATTTTGATATCAAACTTTATAAAGAATCATTTAGCTCATTGGAACAAAATACTGGCTATTGTGTAGTATATGAAATCATCACAAATTTACTTTTTAGGCCATCATTTTATTCCTATGATAGCTATATATAGTATGCAATATTTCTGTCCATCTTAGGTGAGAATTAAACAGGATAATTAAAATAGCTCTATAGGCACTAAGGCTACTGTTTTATATCTAATAATTACATTTTCTGAGATGACCAAAAGGCATTTTTGGGGTCAGACAAAGAATATGGGTCAGAATATATCTGGCTCTACTACATGTATTTAAATTTCCTGTAAGATTATCAGAGTATCACTATTTCTAGTTCATGTATATACTAAGTGAATGTAAATAACATTTACACATAAGGAACTCTGCAGCATGTTCACACTATAGGGTAATTTCAGAATAAAGTTTTCTGGAAAAGGTGGAAATAATTCTTTAACAAGAACTAGCTGTTAACAACCCGAGTCTCCAAAAACGCTGTTCCATTTTGAACAGCATTTAAATGTCTACAGTGAGAGTAGAAGACTTGATTTGTCTAGAAGCCTTACTATGCCTCAGTGGAGTTTCTTCCACCTGAGAAACAACAGGTAGGTTGCTGTTACAGTTCTCTTAAAGAAATTAATGCACTTAAGTAACAATACATAGATTGCCAAAAGATACAATGTAAAACATATCTATAAACTGAGAGAACAGAAAACATTTGTTCTAAAAATTGTTTAAAAGATATTTCTTTGGCTCTAGCGTAAAATCAAGAGTGCTGGTGATTTACCCTAAACTCCATGCAAAAAAAGAATAGAAATGCCTCTGCCTAAGATTCAAAATGCTACTTTAGCCTGTGTTTCTTTTAATCTAAGGGTACTTCTTTTCATATTTGTGTTCCAATAGGCTTTAAGTAACAACTAGTGTAAATTTTGCCTCATATTCCACAAACTGGGCTATGAATTTCCCTCAATTACCAACACACTAGACAATGTAGAGTAAGGGCACATTCTGTATTTCAGCTAGCAGAAAATTGGTTTAAACAATACAATAGTCACTGCCCTTAGTAGCATTTGTAAGTCTACAGTGCACACCAGTGGAATGTAGCAGTATATGCATTTTCCTCTGTTTTCAGTATGACGTGAAATTGTTTTGTAAATAGTCCATATGATTTAACTTCTGAACCACCAAAAGAGCATGCCCTTCAGAAATTATAAAGACAGATACAAAATGTTGAGGAAGACTTGCAAAGAGTGTAAACAAGAATGTTTTCTTGTGCATGTTATAAGGTTAAATGAGCATTCCAAAACCTAAAACTTGAACTGTCTTGCTAACTATAATCCTGTGATTAAAAACATCAGGGCAACACATCAAGGATTTGCTGTTTTACAAAAAGTCCAAAGACTTAACTAATCAGGCTCAGATACACTTTTTGTGTCTGTAAGGTTAATTGATCTGTAAACTAGGCTGTATCTGAACAAAATTGTATAGCTCATTTCTGCAGGTGACTATGGATATTCAACTAGCAACATCATTGATGCCAAAATTTTCATGTTCTCCAGAGAATTTAAAGATCTCTAGGTTTTTCTATTAAAATTACTCTAAAACCAAATCTATCTAATGTCAACACCCTTTATTTTTCAATGTTTCGACAGACCTTTCTGTGGATTCTCATACAAACACAATAATAATGGAAGTGTGATTTTATGATGAACAATAGCGTTACCCTTTTTAAAAGTAAGAAAGTGTTTTGTGGTTGTGAATAGGCTATTTGTAGTGTACACAAAAACTAAAGCATAGGAAATATTACCTTATTTAGTATTCCACTAATATTACTGCAAGCTATTCTGGAAGCAGAACTGAAGCTTATTAACTAGACAGAACATACAGAATGGTTTTGACAGCTAAGAAATGTTGACACATAAGTCTTGGCTTAAGATGGGATCTCATGGACTGAGTATTGCGTAACAAACTCAAAAATGCAGTAAAAACAGATGACACTTGACTGCTTGCAAATAAAGAAACAGTGCTGTCAAATATCAGTCAAAATTTGAACAACGAGCTCCTTAGTAAAATTAGAAGTTAACGTTGACACTATTTAGTGGGAGAGCAAACCTTTTATAACAGAAAAAATATCCATTTCCACGCTAAGTGCAACTTCCTGCTGCAGCTGTTAAAATGGTAAAGTTCAATGGCTGTGTCACTCAAAGGTATATATAATGCTTGTAGTTACTACAACACAAATTACCACTTTACTACTTTTTTTAGTTAACTTAATACACTGGAAACTTATTTACGGTTTCCAAATTGAAGCAGACTGAAGCATTTTTTGAAAAGATGATTATCAAGATCAGCTAGGCTTTCCGTATTTAGTTTGTTGAAAGTTAATACAGATCTTTTAACAGAATGTAATTAGTTGCTAGAGAACTAATAGCCAAATCTTGGCAGCTCTGAAGCTTCTAACATTACACAAAATCTCTCAGACTTCCACAGGGTTAGAAGAGCTAACCACTGCTAAAAATGGTTTAATTTGCTGTGGCACTGTCACAAACAAACCAAGCATTTGCAAACCAAGCATTTTTTTCCACATTCCCAGTGGGACCACGAGGTGATCTACCGATGGAAATAGCAGATTAATTTATGCATGACTGAAACCAAAGATTTTTCGTTGAAGACATGAAAATTACCCAAAGTAATGATTAACCTGTTATTAATCTAGAAATATCTTTGTGATTTAGTATTGCAAGTGTGTATAGAAAACAGATTCCATACTTAGCCTAGTACACATCTGCGTTTTCCTTTACTTCACTTTCAAATTTTTCACTGTCAAAAAACTTGTATGGTATTCCAGCATCCAGTTATCAGTAGTAATATATAGTAAGTGACATTCACAGTAAGTGACATGCATTACCAGAACACAAGATTTGGTTTTTTAACAAAGGAAGAATTTTCAATTACAAAAAAAACCACAAATGTAAGTAATTTCATTTACATTAGTCAGATTCATCAAGACCACTGCTGTCCTGTAATTTAAAATAGATGTGTAAGTCTGAAGATGAACAGAATTCTCAAAATATCATGTCCTGTTCATAATTAAAGAAATTCAGCAAGTTCCCAATAAAAAGGCAGCAACACATGTACATGTGTATATGCTTGCACATATATAAAAATTGGTATCTGTCAATCTCCAACCTCTTCTCAGAATTTTTTTACTTCTTGTTGCTCTGTTCCTGCTGATGGTGCCACAAAATATAAATACTATATTTCTTAAGCAAATAATTAACTAAATCTAGAATTCCTTTGTTATGCAGAAGTATGACATACCAAAATCCTATTTAATGAGCAAGCACCAAATAAAGAACTAAAATCTGAAGGAACTCAAATATGACAGATGTTAATTTGTTGCTGTGGATGTTCATCTATGAAGGTAATTTCATTTACATATGCACATCCTTGTAACTTGAACTTGGAATTTAATAGATTGCTTGCAATCTTTTCCAGAACATAAATAGAAAATTTAATTAATTTTCCTGGATTATTCCAAATCTGAGATGTTAAATTTGTAGGAAATTTAAAATTCTATATATTTAGTTATATCGACACATATATTCTAAGAGGTCCCCAACCCATTGTTCAGGAAACTAGAACCTGAAAGCTGCAATGCAAATATTTCTTAATATTCTACTCATGAACTTGGATTGAAATGAATACTTGTTTCGTAACAACATTCCTACATAACCAGGCAATGTTTTTAAACTCTTCCTTTGAAGGCTTATCTCCTTTTTAAAAGTATAATGCTTTCTGGCATCAGAACTCCACCACTAAGAGTTCCCTGCTGAGATAAATCAACCTCCTGATGCACCTACCTGTTCCACTGAGTATTAGGGCAGACCTTGTTGCACTTGGAAGATGCTGTATATATAACTCTCAGGATGCCTCCACTGCCTCTGAGGACGCCACGTTGCCAGGCTGTCACCCACACCATGCCCACTCAGTAGGCTGGGGACAATGACATCACAGTGGCAGAACATCCCTACACACTTCCTTTCCCCCGTGGGTCCATTCTGCCTGAACATATGCCCAGCAGGACCTCAACCATGGCTGTAATATCAGGGTCATCACCCTCACAGCACATCAGGATAGGGTACCAGGACCTGTCTCCCCGTCCAGTCCCTTCCTGTGAGACTACGGAGACACCCCAGTGCCACCCTTATGGCTCCCCAGCACCAGTGCCTCCATGGCAGCACACGGCATCTGAGCTGCGGCTAGGCTTCTCCATGCACCCTGGGTATGTCCCTCTCTCCAGGATACATAAACCCTAGGTATGATTTTACTCAGTTTCCACACAAGAAATCAGAAATATCAATGTTGTTTCTTACTGCACATGATAATGACGTACTGCTAACATACCTGTTTCAGGCCTTCCAGCTTGGTTTGTCTCAGTTCTTCATATTTCCATTTCCAAATAAATAATTCATTTTCTATCTTTTCCATTTCTTTTTCCAGAAACATGTTCATTCTGAAAAAGTATTTAAAAGTTGACAACAGACAAATTCCTTTTAATTTTTTTCATAGTTATATCTTCATGAACTATATTTTGCTGCCTTTGTCAACCATATATCTGTTTTTTTCTTAAAAAACTGTATTATCATCATATAATGATTCCAAGACATTTAGCAAAAATAATAGCTAAAGAGAACAAAGAAATCCAGTAATATAGAATTAAAATTTTAAATGAAGTAAAATTTTGGGATAAACTGAAGAAAATTTGGAAATGGTCTTCAGTTAGTGATTCAGGTCACCTAATACACGATGAGATAGCGAAGATCCTCAAAGAAAAGGTACTGTTATTTGCATAAAGGCAGAAGATTAAACACACAGATATGTGTGAATATATACAGCAGGTAGACAGTACTGAAATCAAAGATGATCTACTTTAGATGTAAAAAAAAAAAATCTAATTAAAATATGCATATTTCATGTTTCAAAAAGTAATTGCTCTTAAAAAAATGCTAGAAGAATTTTAGGAAAAGGGATTATCTAGCTCAGAGGCACTGTACTCTCATTAAGTGTTGAGCATAAAATCCATTACTACATTCAGGAAAAATGCTTAGGATTCACAATTCACAAAGAACTAATGATGAGAAAATGACTGTATTACTGAAACAATGAATTTGATATCTACATTTACCCCTCTTATAACCAAGTAAAATATTTTCAGCCATTCGGGAAACAATGAAAGAAATATGAGGCAGCAGAGGCACTACAGATGTTCTTGTCTTTGACACCAATTAAAAACTCATTTTTGTGTTCACAGGAAACACTACTAGCCAAGTTTCAAAGATAAGAATGAACTTCAATTAATTTATAGTCTTAGCTTCATAATTTTATTTTGTATTTGTGTAACGTGTATGCATCATTTTGCAATTTTGCAACAAAATAGAACTTGGAACGTAATTAAACGTGAATGAAAAAAATTCTTAGTTACAAATAAAATTTTTCAAATTATATTTCTAACATTTCTATGAAGTCAAATCATGGCTGAAATTCTGGAATATTCCATTGGCTCAAAACATTAATATTGGAATAAACCCTATGAAGTCCGGATGTTGAAGAAATCTAAAATCTGAAAAATCAGTAACACTGCATAGGTACCGTTATGTTAGGAGATGAATATTTTAAATTATATAAGACCTATGAAAATGGAGGGATGAAGGGCTGTATAGCAGAAAAGATAAAAAATTGAAATAGTTGAAAATAAAATTCTAATACTGGCAATTAAAGAAATAATTTTATGCCAAAGTTTTTATTTTCTGTCCTGAGTCTGATTAAATTTGTCAAACTTTTTACTAAAGATAGTATTGCTAGGCTGACTATAACTACATTCTAAGAAGTTCTGGTTTAAAATGAGTCTGCCACAAGAGCACTGTTAACTTTAAGGAGTTAAAGCAAAGGGTTATTGATGAGCTTTGTCTGGAGCGTGTCTATGCAGCATGTTGCAGCCTTGTTTAGAGATATAAAGTTACCACTGACCCTACTGGCTCAGGTCCTGGAGGAAATGTTAGCTTTGTTAATGTAGCTATTTGAGTGAAGTATCTTCTTATTCTCTCTTCTTTTACAACTAAACCTAAGGCTCTTGAACCAGGGATCTCCTTTCTCTGCATAGATATAGCACATAGCACAGCTTATTTTAGTCACTGCCTATGGTTCCTGTAACGTTACAGTAACAAAATAAATGCCGTCACTCAGAAAGCAAAGTTGAGCAAGACAACCTCTGTCTTATTTAAGGAACCTAAAATATGCATTTCAACTTGAATAGTTGTTTTTTCTAAAGCAATGGGATGTCTCAGTGAAATAGTATCATGACTTCATTGGGGAACTGAAAATATTACTGAGGGATACTTAATACAGTAGAAATTCAAAGCATGAAAGATGACAGTTTAATACTTTGAATAACAGTCTCCTGACAGCACTGAATGCATTGAAAGTCCTTACAAATGGTCTAATCTGAAAAGTAAAAAGAAAATGCAGTTCTTACTCAGAAGATACCATTTTGATTTTGTGTTACAGTACCTCTTAAGTGAGATCAGGTCCCTCTGATGCTACCAAATGAAACAAATGATCCTGACTACATATAGTTTACTATTTAAACAAAGAAAACAAACAGTGGAAGAAAATAATGTAGAGATGAACAAAGCAGCTTATTGCTACTTAAACCAAAGGTCAAGATCAGAGCATTTCAACAGCTCTTATAACCACCTATTTTAACTTCTTATTATCTAATTAAATCACAGAATTGCACAGAATGGTTGAAGTTGGAAGGGACCACTGGTAGTTGTCTGGTCCAGCCCCTCTACTTGAGCAGGGTCACCTACAGCTGGTCTCTCAGGACTGTGTCCAGATGGCTTTTGAATGTCACCAAGGATGCAGACTCAGTAACTTCTCTGGGCAATCTGTGCCAGTGTTTGGTCACCCTCACAGAAAAAATGTGTTTCTTGATGCTCAGATGGAGCCTCCTGTGTCTGTTGTCTCAGTCTGCCCATTCAGCCCTAAGCAATTCCTCTGTGATATTATCAACTACCAGTGTACTTGGTGGGCTTCTGGTTTTCAACCAACAAAACACTTTTAAGTTTGCAATAAGTAGAACAAATACAGATTTTGAAACCAGAAGAAAGTAAGATGAGAACGCTGATCCAAAAGATGACTAAAGGTAGCTATTTTAGACAAATGATTCTTTCAAGTGCTGAACAACTCATAAAGTCTTTAATTTCCATTGATGTCAATGGGACCTCAAATGCCTGTTTGATATAAGCAGTAGTGCCTAGTAGAGGGTTTTGGAGTGTAATTTTACATTGTAAAAACAACCCTGCAGTTGTTTGAAAGTCAAAAAATAAACTTTGAGCTCTCCTTTTTTTTTTTTAGAGATCCTTCAGTTTTATATTTTGCAAAGGCAGATCCATGGCGTAAGGGTGTATTGATATTACCGAAGGTAGCTCTAAACAGAATGCAAGAAGCATTATTCCTGTCTGGGTGAAGAAGCAAAACAGCATATGGAGAGCTAAGTAAGGTAACTAGGGCAAGTCCAAACACTGGATCTGCATAAGCTAACTTAATTCTGGAAAGAATGTGGCCACAATTCTGGAGTACTGCGTGTAAACCAGAAAATTGCTGAGAAGTCCTGTGCTGAATGAGTAAGATCATACTGACTGCCAAGGTAACCTTTGGCCTAGGGGTTCAAGCTGTCTGTGATCCAAGCTTGCTTTTGACGCAGCACAGCTGTGCATCCTTGGCTCAATTCTACTGAGAAAATTGCTAAGTTGTGAGGAAGAAGCTGTGAGAAAGTACTTAAGCTAGAGCCATGAAAGATAAGAAAAGTAAAAATGCAAACAGGGATGAGATTGTGGAGATAGTATTTATTTGCAGCTCCAGGATCCAGGAGCAAAAATACTGACATGAACAAGTATAAAACCTTAAGAGGAAAAACTAGGAATCTGAAGATGGAGACTCAGCAAAATAAGCCCATTCCAGTAAGCAGTTCAGACCAATCCATTCTGAGCTGGCAAACGATAGCCTGTCCTACAAAGACTCAGAGGGTGTCTCAGAGACCGGTGACTATGATAATGCTTATCTTACTAACATTACTCCTAGCTATGTATGGTGTGCATTGCCAAAAATAATTGTTTCATACTTTTAAGTTGCATATATTCTGCTTACATAACATCTCTGCACATGGGAAATGTTGCCCAAAGCAAGCTAGAGAGGAAGTTGTTATACCAGTACCCGCTCTTATGTGGCAACCACTGTTCTGTGAGTATTTGCTGCCTGAGATTGGCACTGCCATACATTGCACGAGGTAGACATGCCCTAATTCTTACCATGTGCCAGTAAATTTATTACCGTATCCCATAATCAGTCTATATCTAGGGATAAATGGCAAAATCTGTCTCTCTGAAGTATAGCTACAAACTGTGTAGAGACACATGTGAACAAAATACCAAAACCAGGAGGTAGAATTATTTACTAAAATTTGGCCTAAGAAGTCATTAAAAAATAAAGAGTTGAAGAGTTATCCCCTTTCTAAAAGGAAAGTTTTACATATACATGTGCGTATACTGTGATTCCTCTTGATAAATTGAGTATCTAGGTCCCTAAATATTTCGATCACAAGAAAATGGATATGTGAGGCATTAATCTTTTAACTCAGAAATACCATGAAAAGCTGGAAAATTTGGGCATTCTGAGATTTTTGCTTTTGCAAAAACTTATATCTTTTTTAATGGGATAGAACAGACTTCTGGTCATCTGTTGCAATATGATTCAAATAAAGAATTATTTTATGTTTTCCACAGCAATCTAGTTCACATAACAGAACACAGTAAATGCTAGTTAGGAAATTTAAGGATTTTAAATATTAAAAATTTTTAATGTGTTTTTACTCTGACTTGTACTATCTACAGGAAAATTGTGAAAAAACTTTCAGGATAGAAATTCTTTATCAGAGCTTGCCATTACAGATTGTCTGAACTGAAACCATTGAACATATTCACAATAGAGGGGCTATTTTCTTCCTTTCCATTATCTAATTAACTTCAGCTGATTTTGGCGTTACAGTCAATAGTGCCTGCAGCCTCTTACTACTTCCATCATACATTATATACTGCGTATTTCCTTGGAAAGCCTTTTCGGCGTGATTCAATCTTGCTCGATACTGATAATCTACACAAAACAGCAAGGAATTTCTACCAGCACAGAGACTCACATGCTAGCATATAGTGTGTAATCAACATATGAATTCCTTTAGGCCACCAAAATGCATATTTACTATTTATGCGAGGCAAATCTGATATGATACAGTAAGCATAGAATACGTGTGTTATTCTTTCTCTGTGATCTGCTTTTGACATAGACCTTAGTACAGGTGAAGAGGTTGAGATTAACAGCATTTTTCAGCTGTATGCATATACTTTTAATTAAAAGTCTGCTGGTAGAACGTATAAAAATTTAATATTGCACACAGCATTCCGATACCCAAGTAAAACATACATTAGATACCACTGCATTCATACTAAATTCCTAGTAGGTATAATTTTTTTAAATTAACTGTACTTTCCTCACAGTTTTGTATGGAGCACTTCCTATTTAAATCACAAACTAAGGAAAACAATAAACACACTATTGTGAAATGATTACAGATCATAAAAACATTGATTTTCAGTACCATTAAGCAAAAAATAAAATAAAATCCTTATACGGAATTTTCTTTCTAAATTCTTATCAAAGCCTTGTAAATAGCAATTAATAAAAATTTGAAATAAGATCATATGAGCTATAAATGCAAATAGACCCATATCTATTTTATGAAATATCTTAAACCCCTATATTTTTAATAGGGATTTCCCCAAGTTAGATATATTTCACACTTACTCTCTTTCCTTCTCTAAGATTTTCTGCATCTCAGCCAAATGCAAATGCAAGACAGAAGCACGTATTAAATCATTTTCTGTTGTCTTAGCTGCATTGTCCAAGCTTTTTTTAGGTTCCTCCAAATAGACACTGGGAACTGCACTGGGAAAGGAATCAGGAGCCTTTGGAGTGATATTTTTATTTTGTTTGTTTTGGTCTTTGATTGCCTCTACATCCTGAGAAAACAAAAATATGACATCTGAGAAAGATATAAATGAAGCAAAAAGTCTAACAACTTCTGCAGGACCTCCCAAGGCTCTTCTAGACATGTAAGTCACATAGGAGAAAAAGAGAATAAGTAACATCTTGTACAGTTTCACTGTATATGGAAAGAATGTGCAAAAAACATCATTGTAGTCTAATCACTGTCATTTTATTAACATATCTCACGCTTTCTGTTATGACAAGCTTCATATCCAAAATATTTCAAATGGATTTTTACTTAAGAAATAGATCCCAGTTATCATTAGTTGACTATAACTATGGTGGAGACAGAATCCTAGAATTAATAAAACCAGGAATGCAATTTATGCATACAAATAACATATTGAGAAACTCTACATTAAGAACTCTTAAACTTCTAATCTAAATCATGTTGAAGCAGGTGATAGACTTGTACAAGTATTGTACAAGGCCCAAAGTTACCTGCATAACATACCAATTTGGATTCCATTCAGAAACCAAAATATCTATGTTGAAGACACATGTTTTGTATACAATACATAAACAATTAGAAAAAAATAATTAAAATATAAAATACATACTTATTAGGAAGACTGAATATCTCTTATAAACAGTAGTTTCCCTTAGAAATGTATTTTTGTTTTACCACTACTGAGGAGTTGTCTTTGAAAGCTAGTCTCATTTTAGCCAATAACCAAGTCCCATTATACCACTCTGTTCTTTTGGGTTTTCAGAAGAACATCTGAAATCTACATCAGAAAATACTAGAAGCTGCTGAAAAGATAAGACTGTTTTCCACTCACATATAAAGTTTCAGTTTTCAGGCAGGGCATTATTTTACACTAAGGAGAAACAGTCAAAATTTATTTTGTACCTTTTCCTTCCAATGGCCCATTTGTTTGCCAAAAAATATGAAAGGCATGCATTTTTTGGCCAAGTTTATTCACTATGGTGGGTTTTTTTGCAAAATTCACAGTAATATGCTGTCATTTATGTGCATTACAGAGTGAGTGAAAATTCTGAACATAATGCATTCAGGGCTAAGATTCTGACAATTTTCATTCAATTTAAGTAAAAAATTTCTTCATCCTACAATGTAGGAAAAAAAACCATCCTACATCTACAACAATCTATCAGACAAATAGTAAGTATAGTTTTTATACGGTGTTGTCTATGAAGGCTATAAAATACATGCTAAGGCACAAAATTAAAACAGGTAAAACATGAACAAATAGTTCCATTTCTGTTAACATAACTGGTTCTTTTGTATAGAACAGGGAGCTGTATTAAACCATGACCATACTTGATTCATTAATTCTGCATAGGGACTTAATTGTTCTCCTTACTGAAAAAAATCTTGCAACATTATAGAAGAATTTGCCTCACCTCTTCCCACATTTCAGAAGTTTTGTTGAGGAAGAAATAAATGATTTTATTTTAGAAGCCAGGATCCTACATTTATTTTTCAGGCTAAAACATGGAGAATTCCAATAACAGAGGTAATCTGTTACTTTAAAACATGAGACAGAGTCAGAACAATGCTCTGAGTTGTATGGATATCAACTCATAGGTTGATTGTTAAGTAACATAGTTACTTAAACGTTTAGCCATAGTTGAAGGGTATATTTGAAGGATATGAATTGTTTTCTGTATTTATATTAGGAATATTAATTAGACGGGGGAAAAAATGGATCAGATAGTATTTTGGTCAAGACCCTTGAAAAAATCCCATTTCTAGATATGTATCCATAATCTCCCCCTTCTTCATGAATTAAAAAGTTCCCATTTTTTACCTTTTTTGTGTCTTCTGCCCCAGGAATCTTGTTGGTTCTTAAAAGTTCTTTCACAGGTTCTCCTTCCAGAAATGTTAACTGGCTTAGGTCTCTTCTAATACAGGATATTTCTGAGCAAGATAATTCTGTTTTCCAAGCAGTTATATTTTCTGAGTTTTCCTTCTCACTTACTAAACCTTGATTTATTTTTTTAAGCATACTCAGTTCCTTTACAACACTGTCTAATTTTATTCTCAACTGTCTTGCTTCCTCTCGGGCTTTATTTCTTTCTGCTCTAACTTTGCTCCATTTCTCTCTCCAGTTAGCGGTACAGTCTGACCACCAGCGCATGGTCTTCTCCATTTGGGCAGCTCTGGCTTTGGCTTCTTCCAGTTCCCGAATTCTTACTGCTTCCAGAATTTCCCAATCACTGCTGCAATTTGTAGACATATGTGGATAATGAGATGAACATGGGGTGAAACTTTGAGATGGGAGATTTGAATTGCACAGATCGTCACCTGGTTTGCAACCTCCAGGAAATTTATAAGGTTGTCTTGGTTGGGTCCCAAAAGCCTGTGACTCTTCCATTAGTTTTTGAACAGAGTCTAAATTCATGTTTTGATTGATAATCTAAGTTCACTCCTAAAAAAGACAACGACAGACAATAATTTAGCTTCCCTCAATGAAATGATATGAATAATCTCAAACAGTAGTTTATTTCACCTATAGTATTTCACCTATAGTAATGAGACAATCCTAGTAATACTGTTGATGTTTTAGAAATGTGCTTTACTAACAAGAAATAGCTATTAAAATATATTTCATGTAATACTTTTCGAGTACAGCATAAACAGACATAACCACTACTTGATTAGGTATTGTAAGCAAAGGAAGTGTCATTAAATAATCATAGTGCTCTCAAAAATTTTTGAGTCTAGAGAAACCAGGCAAAATCTTTCTTCCTTCAAGACAAAATTAAATTGAATCAATATTTATTTTAAAAGTCTAGTAAGAGGAAAATATTTGTCTAGAATCACAATCACAGATTCATTTCTTTCCCAAACTATGGAACTTCATACTAGGCAAGACTTATCTTAAAATTTGCCTACCTAAGAAAATTTTAAAAATCAACAAAACAAAATGAAAAAACCCGAACACCCCACTGACCTTTGAATTTCCTTTCTTTCATGAGAAAAATCAAACCTTTACATAGGGGCCTTTATTTTGCTGTCTACATTCCAGAACATGTCCAAGAAATATATTCTTATATTATTCTAGAAAGGGTAGCACTATTCTACTGTACTGTATAGCTTAACTCATGATGATATGATTTTGCAAGTAAATATTGCTGAGTTCCTTTTCATTTTATATCTGCTATTACTCATTCAACAGTTCAACCCAGATGAAACCCAATGCCTCAGAGTTGCTTTCCCACCTCACAATTCCAGAGGGATGATAATTTATCTTTTTACACTTCTCATCAATCTGATCTTTCATTTCCACAAAAATACTTCACTGATGAAAAAATGATAATTTAAAAAAAAAAGTTTAACCAAAGACTGTTTCAATACTTAATTAGTTGGTGCTGAATCTTTAATGATCCCTGTCGTTTCAGTGATACTTTTAAAAAATGTTCTCATCTATAGTATATGACCACCACATAGAAAAGTAATTCACAGTAAAATATCACATATCTACATTGAACTTTGAAAATGCTCATCTATGTAGTATTGCCAATCTGTTCCAAGGGGAACAAGAATAATTTATAACACGTATGTTAAAGGTAACTAAGAGAAGAAAGCTAAGTGTTAATATTGTTACAGACACAGACCTCTAAACATCAGAAATTTCACAAGTCTGGAAACTGAAGGAAAAGATATGTATTGTCTGCAGCTGGTTTTCAATTTGCAAGCTTGAGTTTGCAGCAGCAGACAGCAGACTAGGTAGCACAGCATATGGAGTTCAGTGAGCATAATTACTTAATAAGAGATAACTAGATGGAAAGGTAAGATAAAGTTAGGAAAGTGGTTGAAAGTGAGAATTTTCTGACCAGTGAAACCTTCTGACAGTTCCACCCTTAACTATTCAAGGATAAAAAATAATACAGAATCTCTCTTAGTTTTTCTTAGATGAATAATCTAAAATAAATATGCACAAAATATAGTAAGCAACGTTCATTGTATTAAGTGAGTGGGGTGGGGATAGTATGAGAGAAACAGAGAGAGGGAAGACCTGATGGTTCTCAGAGAAAAAAAAAGATGCAGATATTTGTCAAACACTGCAAGGAATACAGGTCTAAACCATATTACATTATATTGCAATTTTGCTTATTTACCTAAGGATCATAAACACCAGGAAGAAAAACAAGAGCTCTTCACTTATTATTACAGGCTATTATTGTCATGGGCAAAGGAAACTGTATTAACCCTTGGTGGCTTGGTCACTCTATTGGGTGAAATTGGTATAAGAATGGAATTAATTTTATACTGAAACCCTTGCAAATAAGTTGTCAGCATTAGGACAAAGTGAAGCTAAACTAACCAGAAAGACCTGGAAAATGCTTGTAGGGAAGAGAAGTAAAAATATGATAATAATGAACACACAACTCATGCTAAAGCCTGATGTATGCTGGGAGCAGTACTATTAGATTATAGTGACAGCAACACATACAGAGAACTCAGTAGACAGGAAGAGCTAAGTGCTGGTATCACCTGCAGCCACCATCTCCTGCATCTTTGCAAAACAACTGCTTAGGGGTTTCTCCAGAAACCACTAACTTATAGAAATGCTATAGACAAAACTTCCAAGCTCATTAAATAAAATATAATTTACAGAGTACCCTGTGGATTTGATAAATCCAAACAGACCATGAAAACATATGCAGATTATCTAACTTTCACAGTCTGGGTCTGATCATGGTCTATTTTAGCAAGTTAAGAAAACCGTTATTTTAGAACTGAAAATTAAAAGATGGTGATTTCAAGATTTTTCAGTGCACAGACAAAGATAATTACGTTTATTTTTGCCACAGCTATACACCATAACAATAGTAAGCCGTATTGTATATTTTAAGCTGTTTATGTTGTTTCCAAACATTATATTTCTTGCATGTATCATAACTAAAAGTCAGCCAAAAATTGTCCTGAAGAGACAAACAATGCAAATTATTCATTTCCAGTTAGGAGTTATGTGATTTATTTTTTTTTTAGCTGTTTACAGTTTTCCAACTACATTCCTTTTAATATCAAAACAAATATATTTTTTATTATGTATATACTATCTTATTAATTTTTATGCAATTATGAAATCACAGAATGGTTAGAGTTGGAAGGAATCTTAAAGATCATCAAGTTACAATCCCCCTGCCACAGGCCGAGACTCCTCCCACTAGAGCAGGTTGCTCAAAGCCCCATCCAGCCTGGCCTTGAACACTTCCACGGATGGGGCATCCACAGCTTCTCTGGGGAACCTGTTCCAGTGTCTCACCACCCTCACAGTAAAGAATTTGTTTCTAGTATCTAATCTAGATCTACCCTCTTTCAGCTTAAAACCATTACTCTTCCTCCTAGTGCCATACTGCCTGATAAAGGGTCCCTTCCCCATCTCTCTTGAATACCTCCTTTAGGTACTGGAAGGTTGCTATGAGGTCTCCCTGGAGCCTTCTCTTCTCCAGTCTGAACAACTCTCAGCCTGTCTTCAAAGGACAGGTGCTCCATCCCTCTGACCATGTTTGTGCCCCTCCTCTGGACGCATTCCAACATGTCCATGACCTTCCTATGTTGACTCCAAAGCTGGACACAGTACGCCAGGTGGGGTCTCACAAGAGCAGAGTAGAGGGGTACAATCACCTCCCTCAACCTGCTGGACATGCTTCTTTTGATGTGACTCAGGATCCTGTTGGCTTTCTGGGCTGCAAGAGCACATTGCTGGCTCATGTTGAACTTCTCATCCATGAGCCCTCCCAGGTCCTTCTCCTCAGGGCTGCTCTCCAGCCATTCTTCATAAAGCCTGGATTTGTGCTTGGGATTGTCCAACCCACATGCAGGATCTTGCACTTTGCTTGGTTGAACTTCATGAGGTTTGCATGGGCCCACCTCTCAAGCCTGTCCAGGTCCCTCTGGATGGCATCCCTTCCCTCCAGCATGCTGATTCCTGACTCATTTGCTCTAAGCAGGGGGACTGGATTAGATGATCTCTAAAGGCGCCCTCTAATCTTAGCTGTTCCATGAATCTCTGAGCAGTGTGATTTCTGAGGAGCTGTGCTTGCCGCCTTCTCCCAGTTTCAACAACATCGCCATAACAACCAGGAAACAAGAAGAAATCAAGATCACAAATTTTGTATCTCTGAATACATAACTTTTATCAAATGGTTCACTAAACAACATGTAAGTAGAAAAATGACATAAGAAATAAGCTTATTTTGTGATAATGCTGAACTGCCTTAGAAGCAGCAATTCTGCATTATTGTCAAGAACCATAGAGTATACCCACATTTTTAACTGCTTCAACTTTTCAAACTAATTTCTTTTTAAAAATCAATTAAATTTATAATGTAAATAACTTTAAATAGGAAGAATATAGGCATACCTTGATTTATTGTTGGGGGTTTTGTAGCGTACAAAGTATCAACAGTGACCTGTACACACTTTAGGTGGCCAGATTCTCCAAACTGTGTAGCATCCTTTTGCCAAATTTGCAGTGGTGAGGTGCCACGTGGGTTAACTCCCAATTGTGGCCACGGGGCTATAGATTGGCATTCAGGGCGTGTCCAGATAACATTAGGTGCTTGGTCAGTGGTTAGCTGAAAGTGCTTTTGTTGTGCCTTCCTGTTTTGGTGAAAGAAGTTATGTGAGAGATGTGCTTGTTGAAATAGTTGAGGTGTGGCGAGGGGGACTGTGGCTTTGTCGGCAGCACGGTTGCCCTCGACTAGGGGTGCTGGCAGAGAGGTGTGTGACTGTATATGTGTGATATAATAGGGTAATTTACAATAGGAAACACAATGCCATAAATTTTAAGTTGTCCGAATAACACTGGGTTGTTGACTTCCTTTAGGAAAGCGCCTTCTATACACTGAACAATTCCTGTAACACATAAAGAATCAGTGCTTGTGGCTGGATGGTGCGAGTTGTAATTTTCAATCCTAGGTATTTCCAGGGGGGTTCACATTGGACCTTTCCCTCAGGTATCTGCAAGGCTGCTCCTAGGACAGCAAGGCAGACTTGGCAGATGACTGTCTGCAGGTCTTGGTCTTTGTACAATGGGGCCAGCGGCCAGTCCTTCTTGTACTAAGTCATGCAAATGCAGCAGTTGGTGCTTTTGAGCAGCCCCCACAGCGACCTGCGCTGACAATGCATCAGCCAAGAGGCTCACTCCATGAGTGGCCGTGCTGGTCTCTTGGCACCCTTTGAGCAACACTTTACGGGCCGTCAGCATTAGCATTTTCGAACGCTAATTGTTTCAGGGGAGTATCACGAGCTGCACGGTCATCTACTTGTCTCTCTACTGCATTTTGGAGCCGACCAAGGAACTTTCTATGGGGTTCTCCAGGCGCTTGTGTGCCAGCAGCCAAGGCAGCTTCTGGAGCGGCTGGATCAGGCCCCGTCTCCCCGCGCAGCACAATGGCTTTTATTGCCCCAAACCCC